AAAAAAAAATAGGGATTTTGAAAAATTTGGGTCGGCGGGTAATGCTAAACGAAAAATCAACTTTGCATGGCCTAATACTGACGTAATATAAGTGATGCAAAATTATGTGATTTAGTGTGATTTCGTTTAATCACACTAAATCAAATAATTTCCGTGTCCCTGGTGACTGCATATATCTGTGGTCTTGATTAGTAATATATCAAGGGTTAGATGAAGTGTAATAATAACAATATTTAAAGGTAGGTTGAAAGTAATTTATTAAATAGTAAATATTCTTTATACAGTCGGTTTTACATGTAATAGAATGATACAATAATCATATTTGCTTTAAGAAGTTCGATGTTAGTTTTAACAATATGTAGGTAGTATACTAAGAGACCAGGAATTTAATAGATAAACTATATATAACTTCATATTTAATTATCTGATCATAATAAACAGTTATTTTACAACAAAATAGGGGTACACGCTAAGAGGTATATTATTACGCAGAATACGGGATTATTTTTTAGTTTTCTTTGAAGTTCTACCTCTTTTTTTTTTTGGTTCTTCTTCAACATCCTGTTCACGTAAGTATTCTAAATCATCATCTTCTGAAACATTTTCAGGGTAGACTCTCTCATCTCGAATGTTATCTTCAACAGTCGTTTCAAGACAATTCAAGGCCAAATCAGACAATTTATTTTTGCCTTTTTGGATTTGAACCGTTTTAAGATTAATACCAGCGGGTGTTACCGAAGTCAGAAAAGGTGTAGCAGATTTATTGGTAACAGAAGACGAGCTAGTACTCTGCTTAGAAGATCTCGATGTAATTATACGAGACCTTTTTGGCGGTTTTGAAGTAGCAGATTCAACATCTTCAGCAATTAGATCAATGTCCGAGCGATTATCCGAAGCAACCGAAGAAGCGCTTACTTGCACATTCTGGATTGTATTGGCATTGGTAGAGATAAAGTCGAAATCTGTGAGTTCAATTATAGTAAAATCAGGAGTTATATGCCTAATAAAACCAGACACAATAAACGTTTTGCCTGTTTTAATACTGTTATTAAAACGTAGATAAGAGTATCGCAGAGCATTGGTAGGATAAAATATTCTCAATTTCATATGGACATTCCTAGAATTCGTATTTGAATTATACTGATAACATCCAGCATCGAAATAAGTAGACTCTCCACAATCCTTTGGCTCACGGGAGACAAGCACAGGAAACATGCATTGAGGAGTGCTAAGTGGTATTTCACTGGCTTCAAATTCTCGATCAGGATCACCAGCCGCAATAACACAAGCGTAAGAAACAGAGATGTATTGTTCAAGATTCTCAACTATAAATTTACCCGCGAACATTACAATATCTCCAACCGAAAATTCAGTGTAAGGTTGATTAAAGGGGTAAAAATATTTCCAACGAACGATCTTAAAATCGTTCTCAGACGTTTGATACTTAGCTAAACCTGGGTTAAAGAGTTAAAACCCTCTTTTGTGGCTATAATAACGATCACAGTAGCATGAGAAGGCATATTTAATTGAATCAATCGATTTAAATTGAAAGAATGCCGAAATTTTTGCAGTAGCTTTTCGCAGTTATATATATATTATTTCGGCATGTAGTAAATAATATGCTGAACTAACACTGGCCGTTATTTATAATAAGAGAACTAACACTGGCCGTTATTTATAATAACAAAGTTGATACTGAATCATTCGTGAGACAAAATCATAAATATATCCGAATATTTTTTAATACTTATTTTAAGGGGAATTTATATATAAGGGCCCAAAAAATGAAAATAATTACAAATTGGGGCCCGAATTAAAAATAATTACATATAAGGG